TAGACCTGGTTTACCTGGTTTAGTCCTGGTTTAGACCTGGTTGTACTGGTTAGTCCTGGTTTAGTTTAGCCTGGTGGTTAGTCCTGGTTTAGTCCTGGTTAGACCTGGTTTAGTCCTGGTTTAGACCTGGTTTACCTGGTTTTCCTGGTTTAGTCCTGGTTTAGTCCTGGTTTAGACCTGGTTTAGTCCTGGTTTACCTGGTTTACCTGGTTTAGTCCTGGTTTAGTCCTGTTTTACTTTCTTACTTTTTTACTTTCTTACTTTTTACTTTCTTACTTTTAACTTTCTTACTTTTTACTTTCTTACTTTTTACTTTTTACTTTCTTACTTTTTACTTATTTTTACTTTTTTTTTTACTTTCTTACTTTTTTACTTTCTTACTTTTTACTTTCTTACTTTTCTTACTTTTTTACTTATACGTTTTTACTTCTTTTCTTTCTTTCTTTCTTTCGTTCTTTCTTTCTTTCTTTCGTTCTTTCGTTCTTTCTTTCTTGTATTCTCGAAGGCGTCTCAGTTTCCCGCCTGGTTACGTCACTATAGTAACGGAGGTGGAGTTAATCCTGCCTGGAGCAGGTTAAGATCTCGGGTTAAGACTCAGATCAAACCTGTGCGTCTCTGAGACTTTGTGCACATTTTATTTCTCTGTTCATGTGGTGTTTGAGGAGCTCGTTCACCAGAGGGGGGCGCTCTGACACAGATCCTCCTTTACATCAGGAGAGTCAAACTCTAACTCACAGAGGCCAAAAGCAAAAACTGGGACTAAGTCGTGGGCCAAACTAAATATTTAATGAAACATTTCAACAACATCTGCATGTTTTCTCTTCTTTTGAGATCTGTAATGTTAAATCTTTTCTTAGTTAAATAAATAGTTTTGCTTAAACATTGAATCCAGAACAAACAGAATATAAAATAACAACATTTTAAATAAATCATGTCTATAGTCTGTGTGTGGTGAGCAGCTCTAATACAGATTTGATATGATCTTGGGGGCCAAATATAATTATATCACGGCCAAATTTGGCCCCCGGGCCTTGAGTTTGACATGTCTGATTTACAAGTTTGTATTTGTTTGGTGTTTTGAGACTCGTGTGCAGCGCGTGGAAAAACTACACTGTGCTCCTGGGTCGTCTGCACACTGACAGTGATGAGTAGAGGCCCATGCACACTAGTGTTGTACTCAAGACCAAAACCAGCCCAAGACCACAGGATCCCGAGACCAGGACAAGACCAAGACCTCTGAGGGTCAAGACTGAGACAAGACCAAGACTTTTAAAGGTCGAGACCGAGACAAGTCCAAGACCACGACCTCTCAACACCAGGTCGAGACAATCTTTGTCATCTTTGTCATTTCCAGTCGTCCGTCACTATAACGCGGTTCACCTTTCACGGTCTCACTGTTTCGTGACTTTTTTTTTTTTGCAATTTTGCCTGCTTTTTTCTACAGAGTATGAACACGCCTTACGTTCCTCCCCCTGCATCCTGATTGGCTGTAGATCATTGTCAATCAATCTCCTCCGTGCCATGTCTCCTGCACAGTACAGAATGTGTTCACTTTAACAAATTTACATACCGTATTTTTCGCACTATTAGTCGCTCTGGATTATAAGACGCACTGTCATTAAATGGTCTATTTTCGAGCTTTTTCCACAAATAAACGGCGTGGGACTTTAAATGAAACCCAACAGTGTGATGGGTGAGTGGTTTTGTTTGTTTGTTCGTTCACGGTGACTCTGGGCTTTGTTCAGTTGTGGCGTGTAGGGAGTAGTGTCTGTCGCTGGATTGTCGGCGTGTTCGCAGTGACTCAGTTGTTCACAGTGTTGGGAGTAACGCGTTATAAAAGTAACGAATTACAGTAATGCACTGCTTTTTGCTGTAACGCAGTAATGTGGCATTACAGGGGAAAAAAATAGTAATATTTTACTCGGTACAAATGTGAGTAACGCGCGTTACAATGTTTTTTTAACCTGGATTGAAGTGGTGGGTTTTTCTTCATACAAATTCGCTAAAATCACCTCGATATCAGCAGCGGTGAAACACCGGAGACGTGGCCGCGTAGACCTTCAGGTGACCGCGGGCGAAAGGACCGACACAGAACTCTACGCTGTTTAGACCTGGTTTAGACCTGGGTCAGTTCTGGTTTAGACCTGGTTTACAGTCGTCCGAAGTGCTGTATGTTTGCAAGTTTTCTCCCCGACAAAACCCACAATGTCGACAAAACATTCTGCACTGACAAAGTCTCCTGCGCTCGCACCCAAAAAGCAGAGGAAGATGAAACCATCACACAAAAAGTTGGACTTCTGGACACGCTGAAGAAGGTAGAAGTTACAGCTGTAACAGAGTCTTGCACCGGGTCGGGTCCCTGCAAACAGCTGCTGAAATCAGGACCGCGAGCCTGCATAAAGAGCGATCGGGCAACAGCCGCTCTTACCTCCGTGAGGTGCGGAGCAGAGTCGCTCCTTTCTCCTGCGTCTCCTTTGAGCCCGTCACAGTGAGTCCTGTTTTAGTCCTAGTTCAGTTCTGGTTTAGTCCTGGTTCAGTCCATATACGGCGCAAAAGTTCAACATCTTCGCAGTTATTTTGGTGAGAGTAACTTAAAGTAATGCAATAGTAATGTAATGTCTTACATTTTAAATGCAGTAATATTGTAATGTAATGAATTACTTTAAAATGACAGTAATAAGTAATAAATAATGCATTAAGTTTTTAAAGTAACTTGCCCAACAGTGGTTGTTCAGTTGTGTCTAGAAGTGGCACATTGCGCTCGCCTTTTTGGTTGGCTGTCTGCTCCGTGTGTGTTTGTGTGTTTGTGTGTGTTTGTGTGTTTGTGTGTGTTGTGTGTGTTGTGTGTGTTTGTGTGTGTTTGTGTGTCTGTGTGTTTGTAGTTTACTGAAGTCGTGCTGGGACCTGAGTGGGTTCGTGTATGGGGCGCTCTGGATTGTGGGGCACGGTCGTTTTTTGATGGGGTTGGAGCCTTTAAAGTGCGTCTAATTGCCCGGAAAATATGGTAAATGTTAGATGTTTACACTGTGTGATTCTGAAGATTCACAATGTCGACGAAACGTTCTGCACCGAAAAAGTCCCCTGCGCTCGCACCCAAAAGTCAGAGGTAAGACGTCACCCTCCACAGAAAGTTGGATTTCTGGACACGCTGAAGGAAGAGAGAAGTTACACGGTTGGAGACTCCATTACGGAATAAATGAATCTTCAGTTCGTTACATAAAGAAGGAGGAAAATAACAAAAGGACGACAGCAGCAAGAAGTTTTAAGAAGGAAGTGTGTGCTGAGGGGTTTTATACGGAAGCCGAGAGGGGTCACAACAAACGCAAACGCCGCAACAAATACAAATGCCACAACACATTAAAAAGCCGCAACGGAAGTGACCGCGGGACTTTATTTTCCAACGGACCGATCAAGCAGCGAGTGAAGAAGAAGAACTACGACGTGAAACGGATAAAGATAAAAGAATAAATTACTTTTACTTACGTTTCCAACTTCTCCGTTCCTTTACTTTTCACGTTGTAGTTCTTCTTCTTCACTTGCCGCTTGATCGGTCCATCAGAAAATAAAGTCCTGCGGTCACTTCCGTTGTGGCCGTTGTGGCTTTTTAATGTGTTGTGGCTTTTGCGTTTGTGTTGTGGTGTTTGTATTTGTTGCGGCGTTTGCATTAAAATAGAGTCCCGCGGTCACTTCCGTTGTGGCTTTTTAATGTGTTGTGGCTTTTGCGTTTGTGTTGTGGCGTTTGTATTTGTTGCGGCGTTTGCGTTTGTTGTGACCCTCTCGGCTTCCGTAGGTTTTACAGACTTAAAACAAATATAATAATCAGAAAAAATAACGCTGACGACTTCGAGGATTTCGCCTTTTGCAGGTTATTTTTAGAACGTAACCCCCGCGATAAACGACAGACGAGTGTATTTGTATTTTACTGTTATTTTGGCACATTTATATCTTCATTTTTTCTGATTAACGACCAAAACCGATCTCGAAAACTACGACACAAATGCACACTTCACATTTAAAGGTTGTATGGAGGATTTTATTTTTTTTTTTGTTTCAAATTGTCAGTGATAGATTATAGATGCAGTCGCCTTGTAATTATGATGACCAAAAAAAAGAGAATAAAAGTTCATCAACTCTGGACGTGGTGGGGCTAAACATTTGCCAATAGATAACGACACTGCCTCGTTATCTGTGAGCTGACAGGCTGTCAATCAAACTCCCTACGTTTCTAGTGTAACTGACTTGCCTGCGCCGCCGGTACGTGGTTTACGTACGACTGTCACACAGTCCACAGACGCAAGACGCACAGACGCTGTTTACTCCACCAACGCAACAGTTCTTAGCGGCTTTTTTGACCTATATCTTCCTCGCAGTTCACACAAAGTTTGTTGCGATGGCGACAAGAATCCAGGAGCAGTTCGCCACAAAAGAAAGTCCGTTTTTGAGGTCGCTGAAAGAAGAAGACAAGGGGAAAAGCAGCGAAGCCAAACTAAGGTGATTCTTGGAGATTCATTCCAGCGATGGTGCGACTGAAGCAGACGAAGAGTCTAAAGACTGAACCACTGGTCCACAAATTACTCCTGGACAGGAAACTTCTGCTTATTATGAAAACGTACTTTATTTCCAAGAGCTACACAAACGTTTTTCAGGACACGAATGTGATATCCTATGTCTGAAAAAAGAAAGAGTCCGCTTGCTGCTGCGTGTTGTAGCTAGTTCATTCGCACGGAATCTCCGCGCCCCCCTCCCCCTGCTCCGCACTTCTCCGTCTTGCCTAACCAACACTGTAGTTAGTTGTTTACAAGTCATGTGCAGCACCGGTTTCTGGCGTAAGGATGAGGCGGAAGGAGGCGTTTCTACGTAGGGAGCTGTAGTTCAACATTTGAAAAAGGACAAACAGTCGCTGGATTTCTCGTTCCTTGGAAAATCCTCTATACAACCTTTAACTCCTGATTTAAACCTGGATGACGTTCTTTTGGCAGCCGTCAGTCGATTTCACTCACCGTTGAGCTGCTGGACATTGCGAGGACACAGACTTCCTCCCCTGAAGCCGCCCGTCACCTCTCGGGGCACGACGACGCGAGACGGGGCCGAGTCTAGCGCCCTCTGCTGGTCGGGCTGGACGTGGCAACCTGCACACACAAAAAACAACCACCGTTTTAGCTTCGAAACCGTCAAAGAACTTTTAGTCCAAAAAATCTGGGTCGCCTCTGCGCAGATCTGACCTCTTGACATGTACGTTGGTCTGGTTTTGTCTCCACGAAAATAGAAGAGGTTTAATGCCATGCTGCGCGCGGCCGTTTGTTCATTTCCGTCGCCGTGATGTGTCAGACAAAAGGTAACGGGAAGCGAATCTGTAATGAATCACTTTTCCCACTGAATATTTAAAGGTATTCATCAGGCAGACTTTATTAAAACGCCACGTCGAGACAAATAAAACCAAATTATCATAACGACGCCGCAGATTACAGATATGGAAATGCAACCGTGAATATTAAAACTGATGGAAATCTTTTAAGTCTTTCAGTTGTGTTTTAACAGACGTCTGAGCTGCTCCGACCTTGGATCAGTTTGTGTTTTTTATTATTCCAACACGAGAAGATCCCACAGAAAGGTTAGACGGACGTGTTTAAAAAAGATCGATAAAATAACAGTGACAAGAGGAGGTGTTTTGACCAAGATGTTCTTTAGTCTACCAGTTTCACTTTTTTCTTAATTTTGCTGTTAAAACTCTTTTTTTTTTACTTCCTAATGAAGTGTTATACATCCTTTTTCTCAGTCAGTCCTAAAACATTAAAGATCCGTTCAGACCAGAGCGTCAAAAAACACACTGGACGCCTCTAGTTGGACGAGTTTAGATGCCCTCAACGCGTCCAGGGCGTCCGTTGTCCTGCAAACAAGAACCATTTCCTGGTCTTTTCCCGGAACGATGGCAAGACACGTCAAGAGAGACTTTAGTGTTTTTCTTACATAAACCATCAGTAAAGGCGATTGGCTCGGCAGCTGCAGCGTGTTTACTGGTTTATTTATACCCTAGTCCGTTTAAGTCCTGGTTATTTAGTCCTGTTTTAGTCCTGGTTTAGTCCTGGTTTAGTCCTGGTTTAGTCCTGTTTAGGTTTAGTCCTGTTTAGTCCTTTTAGTCCTGGTTTAGTCCTGGTTTAGTCCTGGTTTAGTCCTAGTTTTAGTCCTGTTTTAGTCCTGGTTTAGTCCTGGTTTAGTCCTGGTTTAGTCCTGGTTTAGTCCTGGTTTAGTCCTGGTTTAGTCCTGTTTTAGTCCTGGTTTAGTCCTGGTCCTGTTTTAGTCCTGTTTTAGTCCTGGTTTAGTCCTGTTTTAGTCCTGGTTTAGTCCTGGTTTAGTCCTGGTTTAGTCCTGGTTTACATATTTATTCTCCACTAATGACTCAGTGTAGATTTTCTTGTTCTGGTGTTTGTGGTTCTTGGGTTTTTCTCTTTCTTCTTGTTCTTCTGGATAATCACGTCTCTACGTCACTGGATAGTCGTCCCTGATTGGTTGACGCCACCAAAAGTTCAGCTTTTTCAAATTCAGGCGTTGAGGCCCTGGACGTGTGACCAGAGCGTCGATGCCTGAACGCTCGAGATGAACCGCGTCGACATCAGGTTTGCGCAGCTGAAACGCAGGATGCCAACTAGACACGTGTACACATAGGTTTTATATAAACTGGACGCCTGGACGCTGTGGTCTGTCGTCCAGTTTATTTGCAAAAGCCAGAGTTTATATCCTGACTGTAAAACCTGTCAAATAAAAGTGGTCATACAGGTTTGTCAGGGCCTGATCCCGTCACATCTCAGGAGCTCAGAGACCTGGTCTGGACTTGGACGGAGACACTGGGAAAATCAGGAGCCACAGGAGGCACCAGTCGTAAAAACTGTCGTTGTGTCCTTAGGCAAGACACTTCACCCACATTGCCTAGTGTGAAAGTGGTGTGTGTGTGTGTGTGTGTGTGTGTGTGTGTGTGTGTGTGTGTTGGCAGCTGCGCTTCAGTCAGTTTGCCCCAGGGCAGATGTGGCAACAACAGTAGTTTAGCACCACTGGGTTTGGAGTGACTGAATAATGATGGTGGCACAGTGGCTGAGTGCTTAGCACTCATGCCTCACAGCAAGAAGGTTCAATCCCCGGGTCAGCTGGGTCTTTCTGTGTGGAGTTTGCACGTTTCTCCTCGTGTCTGGATGAGTTTCCTCCGGTTTCCCCCATCAACCCAGAAAACATGCTCCAGGTCCAAGAACAGCTGATCGTCAAGGTCAGTTAAAACAATCAATCAATGAACCTGCCCAAGGACGACAGGTGGAAATCAGCACTGGTGCTACAGCCTGATGTCCAAACATCTCTCCTGATAAGGTTAATGCAAAAATTGTGGCTGTCCCTGCCTCAAATAAATAAATAAAAATAAATCTGTAAAGTGTCTTTGAGTGTCCAGGAAAGTGCTGTATATATAAAACTGGTGCATTATTATTATTATTATTATTATTATTATAAATCAAGAGCATAAACAGCAACATTAATACGTCAAACCAATTAAATCATTCTAAAAATAAAAATAAAAATTTAAAAAACAAAACCGATAGACCCTAAAAGGCCTCGTCCCTCTGATCTGAACGAGCACGAACTGAACAACCCAAGTCCAGTTTTGATCCAACTTATTTTTATTCTTAAACTACAAGAGACGACATGTACATCACTGAAAGGTCCGATATTACACAAAATGTAATCATCAACATCCACCTTGTGATGTCATCAAGTGGTAGTTTTCAAGGTAACAGCTGCGTTTTATCTTTAGTTCACAAGAGATCGAAAATACCAGGATTTAACCAAATGCTTCTAGTTTAAAAACACAGTGGAGCTGCTGTTTTACCACATGTTGTTTTCTGTTTGAGACGTTTTGTAAATGAAAAATGTGTGAAAGAAACAAAACACAAAACAGGTTTGTTTGTGTTGAGGACAGTGGACAGGAAGTTTACTTTTAAAATGTAATCCCCTACAGATTACAGATTACATCCCCCAAAATGTAGTTTGTAACAGAATCCATTAAATTACTTAAAGTGAGTAATGTAATCTGATTACTTTGGATTACTTGATTTGCTGTAGAGAAACAAAGACGAGGAAATCTTCACATAAGAAGTTTTGTCTGATAAAAGAAAATAAAAAGTTTAGTCCTGGTTTAGTCCTGGTTTACTGGTTTAGACCTTGTTTAGTCCTGGTTTAGAGTTGGTTTAGTCCTGGTTTAGTCCTGGTTTAGACCTGGTTTAGACCTGGTTTAGTCCTGGTTTAGTCCTGGTTTAGAGTTGGTTTAGACCTGGTTTAGTCCTGGTTTAGACCTGGTTTAGTTTCCTGGTTTAGTTTAGTCCTGGTTTAGAGTTTTAGTCCTGGTTTAGTTTAGTCCTGTTTAGACCTGGTTTAGACCTGGTTTAGACCTGGTTTAGTCCTGGTTTAGTCCTGGTTTAGTCCTGGTTTTAGAGTTGGTTTAGTCCTGGTTTAGACCTGGCTTAGTCCTGGTTTCCTGGTTTAGACCTGGTTTAGACCTGGTTTACCTGGTTTAGTCCTGGTTTAGTCCTGGTTTTGGTTTTAGTCCTGGTTTAGACCTGGTTTAGTCCTGTTTAGTCCTGGTTTAGACCTGGTTTAGACCTGGTTTAGTCCTGGTTTAGTCCTGGTTTAGTCCTGGTTTAGACCTGGTTTAGTCCTGGTTTAGTCCTGGTTTCCTGGTTTACCTGGTTTAGTCCTGGTTTAGACCTGGTTTAGTCCTGGTTTAGACCTGGTTTAAACCTGGTTTAGTCCTGGTTTAGACCTGGTTTAGTCCTGGTTTAGAGTTGGTTTAGTCCTGGTTTAGACCTGGTTTAGACCTGGTTTAGTCCTGGTTTAGTCCTGGTTTAGACCTGGTTTAGACCTGGTTTAGACCTGGTTTAGTACCTGGTTTACCTGGTTTAGTTTAGACCTGGTTTAGTCCTGGTTTAGACCTGGTTTAGACCTGGTTTAGTCCTGGTTTAGACCTGGTTTAGATCCTGGTTTAGTCCTGGTTTAGACCTGGTTTAGACCTGGTTTAGTCCTGGTTTAGACCTGGTTTAACCTGGTTTATCCTGGTTTAGTCCTGGTTTAGTCCTGGTTTAGACCTGGTTTAGTCCTGGTTTGGACTTGGTTTAGTGTCCGGCAATGAGTGGAATTACCCCCAAAAAAATAATAATAATAATTAAAAAAAAAAGGGGGGGATTTAGCCCAAAATGTGAAAACAGTAAAATCCCTCTGTGTAATCCATTTATTTCAACCAAGTAACTGTAATCCAATTACCACTCACTGAAACAGTAACTGTAACTGAATACTCTACTCAGTGAAAACTCTGGTACATGTAATCTGTTACACGAGCGTCTTTAAAAGTCAAATCTCTGTATGAGGAAGAATCAGCAGCGGCGTAAACATCAGAAACGGCTCCAAAAACCCAAACTGGACGATCTCCATTGTGCAGCAGAAACACGGGCCCCGGCGTCCGCTCGTAATGACCGTCCCCGAACGAGCCCGAGAGCGACGCACCGGGGCTGTCGGGGCCCATCCTCCCGCCCATCCATCACCTCGCGCCCAGAACACCTCATCTGTCCACATTAGAGCCGCACACGCGCAGGGGCATTACCCGCGCCATCACCACCGCACGCCACCTTTTCATCAGCCGAGGTGTGGAATAGAGGAGGATGAGGGGGCGGGGCTTACAGGAGGGGGCGGGGACTCGGACGGGACGGGGAGCTTGGACACTAAACGCTCTGGACACGTTTGAATTGGTGTTTCGCGGTTCATAACAATGCAAATGTGCGGGAAAAAAACAGGTTTAATATCAGAATACCTGCGCGTCTGTCGCCCTCTGCTGGCAACAGTGGGTCATCAAGAATTTCAATTAAATAAATAACAGTTTTATAGACTCGTGCGATTAATTAAATGTTATTAAAAGGCTCATATAACTCTGCTGAGTGAGTTTACGTGTGTTTGAGTTTCTTGGTTCTGATCAGGTTTTTTGAGTCTCCTGGTTTTGTGAGCGTCCGTCTAAACTCAGGATCCTGATTTTGGTCTCCTGGATTTGCCGGTGTCCAGACCCTAACTGAGTTTTTTCTGAAAATATCCAGGATTCTTTGGTCTG